ATCTGACAGTGAAACTAGCACATTTTCACCTATATTTAGGAATCATTATTTGAATAAAAAGCTTCTGTTTCCTGCTGAAAAGTTACCTGTAAGTCGGTTTTCCCTTATTTCAAGTGTACTAAGAGATTTTCATTAGAAACAAAATCAACAATACTTAGTAAGATCTTGTGTTTTTGCAGTGTACTTCCTCCCACAGTCCAGACGGATGTTTAGCATCCTTATGAAGGACATTAAATCTGTAATTAAAAATGCATTCAAAGCTAATGCTATTTTCTAACCATTAACAGCTGAACAATCCCACTCTAGATCATCTGCAGAGGCTTTTATTTGCAAAAAAAAAAAAAAAAAAAAAAAAAAAAAAAAAAAGGGAAAAAACATGCGATCTCTATGAATGCAGCTGAGAAATGCACTTAAAAACGGTGACAGGAGTGCCGTTAATACTTGAGGCATAAAGCGAATTAGAACCAGCAGTAAAAAAGACAAAAAAAAAACTGGGCTGCCTTTTTTGTCACTCTTTCATCATCCCTCTGTTTATCTGTACCTCTCTCAGATCACAAACGAAAGCTGCCCTGCTTTCTTCTGCTCGGCCGCTGCCAACTTCATTTGCAAATGAAAAGTTTTGCGAGGAGCGTCCTTTTGCTTCTGGGGGCATGGCAGCACACTGTGTGTTAGGGAGCGAGGAGGACGGGGAGGGGGGAGAGAGAGGGAATGAGGAGAACAGCAGAACGGGTGTGTGTGTGTGTGCGGCAGATGAAGCAGCCCTCGCCTGAGGCTCGCCGTCCGCCCGCGGTAGCAGCAAGCCTGTTCCTTCCTCCTTCGGCCCGCCGCGGCCATTTGTTCCATTAGCCGATCTGCTGGAGCCTCTGGTGCAAACACACGCACACATCCACAGGCGTGCATACTTCAACAACTGCTTGCACAGCTCCTGCCACACATGGCCCCTCCATCCCTCCACCATCCCTCTCTCCCTCCCACTTTTTCCTCCAGACGTACGCACAATCCTTCTTGGTGGAGGCCATATGGCCGAGCGAAGCCTGTGGATCTGCAGGCACATCTGCGTATATGTTGCTGCTCTCCTTATAAGACCGCACCTCTACGCAACTCGACTCTGGCAAACACACTCTGCTGCCACTATGAGCTTAAATAACTGTTGGTCTGTCGGATAAACGCGCGCGCATGTGTGTGTGACCCGAGTGTGTATGTGCGTCGTGATAATTGGTGAAACAGCCTGTGAACAGCTGTGAGGTGAGGGAAGGTTGCGAGGTGTTCGGTACAGAAGGACGAGGGGAGGAGGAGGAGAGAGGAAGAAAGTTGGAGTGCAGGAGAGAGGTGAGGAAGAGGAGGGCAGGCACAGCTGAGGAACTGGATTTAGATCCGAAATGTGACAGAAAAATCGACACGAAGAGCAATCTGGAGCGAATATGTTCGTGGATGTAAATGAATCTGTTTCCACTCAGTTTTAACTTTTATCCCAGCAGATCATATCATGTAGAAATGTTTCTCTTTCTGGAAATGGCTTTGCTGCACAACAATAGTGTAACTATTGTAGCATTTCTGGGGTAAGTTTACGTAAAGATGAAAAATATTTCATTTGAAAAACTCAAGGTACAAAAACAGCTCATCTGTGCAAAAATAGACAATCAACCTTTGTTTCTTTTCGGTAGTGGACGTGTCGAAGTTGTCATAATTTTAGTGTCACCAGTGAAACGGACGGACAAGACACAATAAGTTCGTGTCACACAGTCGAGCTCTGAATATCTATATTTGTCCATTTGGATCAACTCTGTCCTGTTTTCCTGTTTTTTCTTTGTTTTTGTTTTTTTTTTTTATTTCCCGAGAAGCTAAAACCCGAGAGGTGCAGACATTGTTTCAGAAAAACTTGGGTGTCAATTGATTATTTTATTATTTTCCAAATATTTAATGTCTTTAAGACACACTCTTATTAGATTTGTCTAAGGCGATGCCCAATTCCTGTTCTCTGCTAATGCTGATCTATTGGTGAACAACAATCGGCCATAAAATAAGAGAAAAGTATAACATGGGTTCTGTGATCGATGCAGTGGTTTTGAATGCAACAGAAAATTTTAAATACATATATCAGAACATAAGTACCAAACCTTTAATTGGTTTTTATGTGACTTCTTAGATTTAATGCATTTACTGAATTGAAAATCACCAGCCAATTTAAATCTGTTCTAGTTTTATGAACTGAAACCAGTATCAAAACCATCAATCTCATAAAAAAGTTCACTTCTGCTCCTGTACTTTAATATAAAATATCTACATTTAAACATCTCCAGTCACAGTGAATTAATCCTTTTGCAGCGTCTGGCTCTAACTCTCTCTTGCTGTCCCGCTCCAGCTCTTCCCCCCTCCCGTCCCCTTCATTTCCAACTTAAAAAAAAAAAAAGAGGCAGCAACACAGAAATAGTGAAATAAATAATTAAGTGGCGCAGCAAAACATTGTGTGCTAAAACCCCTGTGTAGTTTGGCAATCAGCTTGCCCATGTAAAAATAAATCAAGCTGATTTTCCAAATGTTTTGTGCGTGGTGCGCTGTTGCCGCTCTTCGCAGCACAGATTGCAGGCCGATGGAGAGGCTGTGGGGAGGGGCGGGGCGCTGGATAGTGAACCCACTTACACCAGATTGTTAACACGTACACCTTAACCCCCGAACGGCGCGGCGGGGGGCCCGCTGAGCAACCAGGGCCCACAGGGAGCAGCGAACAATACTCGATGTATAGATCTGTACGCTAACAGGAGGGAAGGAGAACCTGCGTTGCGCTGGCAAGGAAAGAACCATATGATGTTTCAGCTTATAGGCGAATATGTGAACAAACTGATGCGCTGACAGAGATCTGAAAGTTCAGGGGATTCAAAGTAAAACGCGAGACTTCTGTAACGCTTCGTCAGACACGGTAGAAGTACGTTTTATTTTTTTGTTCGTTCGGGTGCAAACAAAGTATTTGTGGTTTTAAAAGGCGGCAGAATCCCATCTGCAAATAAAAGGAACAATAAAAAGCTTTCTCTCATCTCTGCTCTGCCTCCAAACAACAAATCAACAAAATCAAATCCAAACTACATGAATTTCCTGCTTAAACCAAACAAATTACTTTCCCTGCCCAACCCCAGCCCCTCAAACACACACACACACACACACACACACACACACACCTTAGGAAGCAGAAACGTGGTCAGCAGATCAGCAACTCGCTCCCAAACTGACCTCCGCTAGAGCTGAACTCTGGAGATTTCAAACTACCAGGAGGATTCATCAACAAACTGAGTGTCAAAGCAGAAAATAAAACTTCATAAATGCCAAGAGTGATTATCGTGGTTCAGTTGGGAGAAGAGAGAAGTTTGGTGCCAACTTCCCAGCCAATCCCACTTTTGGCAGCCGGAATCCAACTCTGCTTACCCTCCTGAGAGCGTGCAATAGCTACTACCCATATGCACACAGACGCGCACGCGGGCTCACGCGCACGCGCAGGGAAGAAATACCACCACAGCATATGCACGGAAACATACAGAAGATTCAAGCTCTGCAGCGCGTGACAACTTAAGATTGTTTTTCCCTTTTACACACGCACACACACACACACACACAAAAAACAGTCAGGCACGACCAGGAGACAGCTGTGACTCGGTAAACTTTGTTTTTTTTGGCAGCATCCCGACTGTCGGCAGGTTAACACCGGTGGGAGGAAGACAATATGTAGTGTCAGTGATGGTGAAGACGTGCACGCGTGCGCGTGTGTGTGTGGTGTGTGAGTGCAAACGTGGAAGTGATGGTGGAGGTGGGGGGTGGGGGCGCACTGGGGTAGAGATCCTGCAGAGTGGGGCAACAACACCCACACACCCACGCCCACGCTGGCAGAGCCAGGCTGCACGCCAGGCGCCCTGCCGAGACGCGCACCAACTGGGCTCCGCACTCAGGAGGAAGAGACCCCCGCATCGCCGTGGCGACGGAGCAACTTTTAACTGCAGCTTTGTAAAGTGGAGAAAAAAAATTAAAAAGTCAACTTCAACACGTTAAAACTAGAAATAATAATTTGATAGAGGACAAAATACGAATACATGAGAATCCAAGTTTTTTTTATTTTACTAATAAATTTTTATAACACAGTTCAGTTTGTGCCTCGATTTAAGGACCTTTGTCTTGTTTCTGAGTTTCATAAGTCAAGGCATGAATGGCTGTTAAGAAAAAATACCACTGTGTCGTGTTTTCAATGAATTAACAAAAGTTTTTGACGCAAAACGTATCTAATTGAGAACTGGTATTTAAAGAAGAAACAATTATTCCTACTGATGCTAAAATGATAAAACACTGAATATTACAGCTGTAATAATGTTACTATCTATTAATTACTTTTATTTTAATGCACTAACTTAAGCAAAATATATCTATCTACTGACACCTATTTTTTCAGTTCTGCTCTTTATAGAGAAGCATGGGAAGTGTAGCAAGCCAGCCTGTATTCTGCTGTGAGCTTCTAAATAATGACCGTCACGTTTTTTTTTTCTTTGCATCTGCAAATAAATAAATAAATAAATAAAAAATAGTAATTTTAGCCAATTCTGTCATCCAGATGATGAGGAGTTTGCAGCAACAGGTGGGGGAGGAGTTATTCTCTAATTCATACAGCTGAAAAAAAAAACCTCTACAATTTTCCTGGTTTCTCATTTGTTTTCATCTCTTGGCAAAAGTTCATTTGCACTTTTGAATGAGCTGCTTTTTAAGACTTTGGTCACTTAAAGACCCACAGGTGTGCATCTTAAATATTCCATAATTTTCACATTTTTTGATCCTTGCCCGATTTCTGAAATAAAGTTGTTAAATATTTGAGCGCTCAAATGCAAACCACACAAAATACAGTCAAAATCCTGTTTCTTCAAAAGAAAACCTGCGGCAAATGTGAACATGACCGGGTTAGGATGTGAAACGAGGCTTTAGATTCAGCCTGAGTGATTATGAGAACGTTCTGCGCAGAGTCTCCACACCTGTCCTTCATGCGCTGGTGCATGCGTCCATGCTGGACACACTGCTCCTCCATCTCCAAGCAGCGCGCTCTCAGACTCCTCACCGTCTCCTCCGAGTGCTGCTTCTCCAGAGCCAGCTGTTCCAGCTCGCTCCTGTGCACAGGCAACAGCAATGCAAACAATGAACAAATGAAAGTACACCCTGTCCTGCACGGAATGCAGGGCATGCTGGAAATAACTATGAAATAAGAAAAAAAAGAAACATACAGTGCAGAATTGTTTTATTAAATCAAAAGTTAGTATTAATTGCCAACTAATAATTCAAATATGTTCCCATTTTCTATTCTTCTTTTCCATACTACTACCTGGAAAATCCTTAAATTAAATGTAAGACTTCCTGACTGAATAGAAACCCTAATAATTCCTTCAATAATTCAACAATTCCTTAATATCAATCAAAATAAAGCACTAGTTCAACTGGCAGATTTAACATATAACAAGTGGAAACAGTACTTTTTTATTAATATAAAGGAATTATTAACTTAAGACGAGCTCA